AGATCATCAGTATGCTCTACAATTCCTTAATTTTCATAAAAAATGTTATATTTACTAACACATTATTTCATATGTACTGTTCACTATTTAAAAATAGTTTTAAGGCTATAGCTCCAAGTGAAATTTTGTTTGAAATAGCAGGCTATAATATAAAGGTAAATATAGATGTAAGATATAAAGATGACAAAATTTTTCCACATTAAATTGATATAAAAACGGCCATGGTCTAACTATATGTGGTCTAATCATTTCTGGGATCTCAACGTGCTGTGTTGATATCTTTTTATATTTGAGAAGTTGTTAAAAATATTAAGATTTGTAGCCAAAGCATATGCTTGGATTGTATGCCTTTTTGACACATTTTATGCTTAATTACATACTGTATCACCATTAAGTATTTCCTTTTTTATGCTGACTTCTTTTTTGGACATCTTGTTTTATCAGCATCTTTAATTTATTCTTCTTACCAGCAAACTGTATTCATAGACTCTTTTTTAGCCTAAAACTCAGTGCTAAATATGGCTTTTCATACAAACACAACTTAGCCTGAACTTTTAAGCTCGTTATACTAAAGATTATTTTCAAGTATTCTAACTCAAGTATAGCTTACTGCTCTACCTGGGTCATTTGAGACAAGCTTTCCTTTGTTTCAAAAAAATAATCCGTCCTTCTTATCCATCTATTTCCTGCACATCCTTTTTTTTATTTTAGCAAAGTTGTGGGGTTTCTTATGTCCAATGATCATTAGGCGACATACATGGTACACCCCAACACACTGGATAAACCCAGGGAATCTCCACATATGCATGGAGAAGAACAGATTAACTATGTGCAGACAGACCCCGGGGCAGAAGTTAAATACAGAATCTTCTTGCTGTGAGGCAAGAATGTCTTAGTGCTAACCACTGTACCACTGCACAGACCTCTTTTAGAAAAAAAAAAAAAAAATTGGCATAGCAATAACTAGTCTTAGTTTCTCATTGATAAATCTCTAAAGATGTTATTAAAATTAAAAGCATCAACAAAAGGGAGACAGTTCTGAGAAGTTTATAACCTGACAAAAAATATTGTTTTCATCATTTTTATTAAGCTACTGTGTGCTTCTACAAGTCCTTGTTTTAAAAACTCTGTTCTGTTATTTTCAGTTGTGTCCACTTGGAATCTATTTTTTATGGCTGAAAAAGCAGCCATGTGATCTGTTGTACTAAAAGTAGTCAACACCTTTCGACTTGAGGGCAATCAGCAAT